ACGTCGAAATATTTATCATGCATCACAATACTTAACACAGAAAGTGATAACCATTGCTTACAAAAAGAAAGGGCATTTAAAAATAGTTCTGCTTATGCTGTGGAAGTGTAAAAAATATACATAATTCGTTACTTATTCCTATTGCAATAAAAATTTAGTCACTGCATTTTAATCATACTAAGTTGTTGGTAACTACCAACCGACTTTCCAACTTCGCTATCATTAATGAAAAAATGGTGACCTAGCAATCGATCCTTATCTGGATCTCTGGAAATAATCACAACCTAGCACAAAATAAGTACAAAATTCGGTCTAAAAACGCCAGCACTCGTACTCTATAAGGGTAATACTTTATATGTAACACAATAAAAACTATTAGTTTCAGTCTTTCACAGTTATACAAATACGCGTTTATTTTGTTTTTCTTCGTAATGTCCAACACTGTTTATATACTAAGAAACAATCAACTGACCGAAAAATATAACATTTACACATTTTCTCCATTTTTTTCCTTTTTTGTTTGTAGTCGAATTGGTCACTGCGCATCGTCGTCGCACACAAAAACATCGAAAATTATACAAGGTGATTCGAATGCATAGCATAATTTTGTGCTGAAAATATTATTCTGGAAAAAAGAAACGTGATAAAATAGGTTTGTCAATTATCAGTCAGCAACTGTGCCTATTGAATTCATGAAGCGATTTTCTTCTTTTCTTGTAACTGGCAAATAGAGTTACAGCTACATTTCCGAAGAATGAAGAACTTTATTGCCATTTCGGCCATTACTGCGTTTTGTACTTTGAAAGGAGTGGCAGTGGCTATCGAAACATCAGATTTTATAAATTACAACTGGCAGTTATGTTATTTTAATTCATAGACTGGTAACCTGGTTTTTAAGTGAAACTTTGCTATGCAATACAAATCACCTTATTATAATCATACAACACTTGTTTTCTTTCAAATAAAAAATCGAGAGGATTCCAATGGAACATATTGTCTACAACGGTCGTTGAAATTTTACTTTTCATGCGATTAGGCAAATCAATATTAGGCTGAAATGTATGGCATCATTTATCGGAGCGCCTGGCAATGTTACGGTCACCTCCAAAAAATATTTCAATTATCATTCTCACTTTTCCTTGCAAAAAGGAGCTTGTACCTCTGTACTTAATAGATTTGAACAACCAGTATCTGAGTATCGCAGCATCGTCATTTGATCATTTTTTGGGAGGTTACCAACACCAGGCACTTTATATGGATAATCATGGGTGTGTTTCAAAGTGATTCGTTTCAATTTAGCAACGCAAAGATTAGAAATTATGACAGCTATTTTCGTCTAGTCCTGGGACTACATAACTGTAAAGAGGCAACAATGATAGCATTTTCCACTGCTATGCACCTTCGCACTTTTTCGTCATTGGCAAATTATTGCAAAGTGTTTTGCACTACTTGTGCGTGACGAAATATTAAATCAGTCACAAGGGTTCCAATTTTGGACTATTTCTCTAACTACAACTTCGCCCTCAAACCCAATGGATATCAAAGGGAAGTGAAAGCAAAATATTATGATAGGTAATATAGGTACATCACAGAGTTGGTTAGTATTTGAATACTCCCAATATTTGTATACCCATCCTGGTATTCGAATCCTGTTTGGCTATTCTTATGGATATCGTGTTATGCTTGTTCAATATTGAGATTTTATTTTATGATAAACTTTAATACCTGTTTAAGTGTGATACCAGATAAAGTGCGGTAAGTTTAATTTTAATTATGTGAGTACATGGCGTAAGATTCATATAAAGTCCCCTCTTACATGGACAGTTTCTCATAGAATTTGCATTGTATTAACTCTCTCTTGTACGAACATTCTCTTGAACCGACGCCGACACAAGAAAATGTACTGAGACAAAAACAAAATAAACAGAAACGCCATGTCTTTTTTTTACCGAAGTCCAATAAACACCTACTAGTAAACATTGAAACTGCTGGTACAACTTTTGAGTTAATAAAGAAAATTACGTCATTGGATGCAGTTTTTTTTTGCAAAAACCGCTAGGGAGCAAGTAACCAAAGGAACAGTGCAAAATTGCTTCCGGAAAGCAGGAGATAAATGAGGCTAATACTCCTAGAAGATGTGCTGGCAAACACTTGAGTGCTTAAATGCACTGGTGCATACCAATGGAAAATACAATAAGATTCAACTGAGTTTTAGTGTCAGTCTAGAAAAACTGTAGCTTCCAGCTTACATTCGGTAGTCCTTTATGAAAATTCAACAGCAAACCATTCTGACACTATCTAGTTCGATTTGTATGTCAGACGCTAACGCATCAGATAAAATATTTACAAACATTGACGGGCGATCAATTAACTGTCATGTATTTCAACTCTCGCATGCCGTGTTGCAGATTGAAACGGGACCACTCAACGCATCCCACAGCTGAGTATTGTGGAGGGAAAGTGTCAAGTCTAGTTAGCGAGCTGAATGGGCAGATTTTTATAAATAGAACAGTCATATTCAATATTAAACGATTAACTTATGAGATATCGGGCCTCCGAGGCGTGCGGAATAGTTTCAAGTCACTAAAATAGAAATGCAAAGTGGTGGTGAATAATACCGTTCTATAGATAAAAAAATATGTGTAGGGGAAATTGTACTATTGTAAATGATATTGAGGGCGTAAAATTCCAATGACTGAACGAAAATAATTTAATTCAGAAATTAATAGTTATTAGTATATACAGTACGTTTTGCCCTAACATCTTTATGAGATTTTCTTCTTGACAATAATTCCCATAAAATTTTCTAACGATGTAAATATGAATACTGAATACAGCAATGAAACAATTCAAAATGCTTAAATTGGGATTATATTGAATTGTTCCAAAGGTAAAAGCTTTGCATTGATGGCACTGAGACAGTTTGAACAAAATATTTTGTTCAGAATATTCAGACTCTCAAAATTATTCTATGGTGGAGACTCGATAAAATGCTGAATAAAATCAATAAATACGAATTGCAGGAACCTATAAAATGTATATTCAATGATGATCCTAAAATTACTAATAAAACTCAATTGAATAATAGTATAAATATCACAATAAATTACACATTTCAATAAATAATAAATGCAATATACACATCAATGGGATTAGATGCAATTCAATATTAGAAAATCTCAAAAAGATATACAGCATGTTTGATACCATAAATGGAAAAACATGGTGAACACTGTGATAGAAAGACATTCCAGGCATCCAAAAAAAAAGTCCAAAATATATCTTACCACTCCAGGAAATGGTCTGAATAGTTAAAAATAATAAGAAATGAAAATGATGAATGTTTGAAAACTTATTTTTTATACCAGGAATATCTTTTTCCAGAAATCAGGCATCTTTCTGAGCGCTTGCTATATTTTCCTGTGTCCATGTAATGCATCAAACACGTTGTGTAGAGCAAAACAGACTAATAATGTCCATTCTTTAAATATTTTCAAATATATAATTATTTTATATATAAATTAGGATACTTTTAGGTCGTGTTACGACAGGAGTCCCTCAACGATATCAATATTATATAAACAGGGAAATGTGTAGCGGGGACAGATACACTACTACAGCTAAGAGACGTTGTTCTGTCTGCACATTTTTTTTCAGTTTTTTAAACAACTATCGACTTTTACGTGCAAAATAGTATAAAAATTGAGTACGATTTCATAAGGCCATCATGAATATCGATCGATAAATTAGGCCACTCAAAATGAACTATAAACAATTTTGAATCAACAGGAAATTATGAATGCTTCATTCGTCAAACAATGGCAGATGAAAGCAATCATTCTTATTTCGTCAATAGTCACAGCTCAGTCTCAAGTGTGAAAAAAACATCAGCATTTGAGAAACAAAGATACAATATTGGCCAATGGCTTTTTCAGATTCAATTTTTTTTTCATATTGTCATTTAATAGTGTCGTTATCGTATCAATCCATTGCTGACCGAGGTGTACAGGAATAAATCCTTCAAGTTGACATACAGTAGCGGACAAAATAACAACAAACAAATAACATTATTATGAACTATTTCATATACATAAATTAAAATTGTGAGGGAACAGATAATATGAATATTAAAGTCTATCTCTGGCTCCCATTTCAATAAAAGCATTATTATCTTATCAATATTCAAATTCTTTGAAAATAAAAACGCGCGTTTTTTTAAATACCACTGTTTTTGTACAGGCAAAAGTATGGAAACATTTCAGTTTTGCCATATTTATTCGTTCTGCGATACTCTGATATTGCGTACGGTAAATATTAAAATCAGGGAGCATGGAAAAAGTAAAAGAATTTTCAAAAAATTTAAGAGACAAAGTAATTGAATTATTTAGAAATTATTAGGAAATATCAAGAATACGGATCAGCAGCAACGCGGCGCGGCCCAAGTGCGGAAGACCGAATAAAAAACCGAAAAGAATCGTAGAAGAGGGTGCCGAGAATCTTTCTGACAAAACAGGGGACAGGCACTTGGTGGATTTTGAGCTTTTCCAGTACAAAAGCCTCTCATTTAAAAAAAAATATCGTATTGCTCAGCTTGAATTTGCTAAAACTCATCTAACTTGCACAGAACAACAATGGAATACAGTTTTGTGGAGCGATGAAAGCAAATTTAACTTGTTTGGAACTGATGGTAAGGCATATGTAAGACTTGCAATACGAAAAAGATTCATCATGGTTTGGGGCTGTTTTTCTAGCTATGGAACGGGTCCAAATGGATCAAAAACATTACAAAGATATTCTTCGTGAACACATGCTCCCTTTTGCCCAAGAAGAAATGCCTTCACGAAAATTCGTAAAGGACTGGTCAAGACTAAAAAATGCAAATGTTCTTACATCGCCTTCGCAATCCCCGGACCTAAACCCTATAGAACATCTCTGGGAGCAACACTTAAAAAAATAGGAACGATTTATTTGATTATGTAAAAAATATTTGGCAAAATATCCCAACAGACATCTGTACAAAAATGGTGTCTTCTATGAGCAACAGATGTCAGGAAGTGTTAAATGCTAAAGGGTATGCTACCATATATTAGCTAAACCGTATTTTTCAAATTTTTTTGTAGATTTATTGTATTTAAGTTTGTAATAAAAAATATATTTCCATACTTTTGTCATCTCATTTTTGGTCATAAAATAATATGAAGGTATTTTAATGCTAGTCTGTAGTACCACAGCAAACACAAATCGTCATTTGTATGAGGCTGTAAGCAAACTATATGAGAAAAACAATAGAAGAATAAAACATTAGCGCACCATTACTAAGAATGTTTCCAAACTTTCGTCCGCTACTGTACGTTCTGGTTTCACTCAATAAGAATGAGATTTGGAATCAGGTATTAGAGTCTCTGGACTAGTCATCCTGAAGAAAAACCAGTTTAAGAATGAAGACTATTGATTTATAAGACAATTCATATCCATCGCCAAAAGGCACGTTCCATACGGGTCTAAGGAACTGATAATGCCTCTATAGAAAAAAGCTTCCATATCTTCCTGTCAATCCAACATGCGACAAACGTCATCGTTCTCATGAACACAGACAGATGAACAATCGATTTCTCTTAGCCAGGACGAGACTTATTGAAAACATCGTCAGGGCAGCACACTATGGTGAAGGGGGAATGGGACAACATACAACAGTACATACGGTAATAGCTATAGTACGTTCGGTATGGGACAGATTGTATATACAATAGAATGCGAAAGTTTCTAAACAATTACGCCGGGGATTATAGTCTATCAGTACTTACTAGGAGGATGCTTCTGTTTGTGGCCCGTCAAAAAACGTCATTGTTTAAACGAAAATTAGGTAAAAACATAAAATGTGTGGCTGGAAATGTTTATAACAGTTATGAAATGTTATGGTATAGCAAAAGTTGTTACATAGAAATATGAAATAAAAGTTTCAAATTTAATCATAATTAAATTTTTACACGAGTTTAATATTGGAATAAAAAAGAAATTCGAAAAAAAAAGGCTGTGTTTATGTTTAAAACCAGTAATTCAAAATGAGTTTTGAAAAGTTAATTCGCGCATTGCCTTAAAATATGGAAATGGAAAATACTTTTCTCCATAGATGATACCTTCCAAAGGTTACTAATGCTATAGGAAATAAAATAGTAAACCTCACTTGAAATTATGGCCCAGTCTGTATGCAGTTTTCTAAAGACTGCTTCTTTTTTAATATTTTAGCAAGGTCTAAAGATGAATTTCATATCATTTTTATACCAGTCAAGCCAAGCAAAGTATCAAATAGAGAAAAGTATACTCAACGAACCGTTCGACGTTTCAAAAAAGTCGTAACTACTCCTCAGGCCGGTCAGACACATTTTTAACTCTACTGAAAAATCCAAGAAGTACGCACCACCTTTACGCACATTTTAAGTCCCCAAAGAAGATTTGTCTAGCATCCACCTAGTCGTACGTTAAGAACTCGAATCCAAAACGTGATTGTTCGGACCGATCCGCAGGCTACTGCGCAATATGGAACGGAGACGGCACGATCATCGCACTCTATAGCATCGTTCATCGAAGCAGCATCGGCAGCAAGATCGCGGTAGCGCACACTGACAACACACCACCGGCCACTTGCACGGATCGGGCACCGCCCAGAGTCAGTTCCTCGCTCTTGACCACCTCGTTGGGATGTTTGCCGCCGTACGGTTTGGACTTCTTCGTGGTGGGCGGTGCTTGCGGAGTGGGAGGCGCTTCCGTGGGTTGCGGCGGCGGCCGTTGGCTGGGCTCCCCCCACCACGGCACGACTGGCGGCCGCGACGGCATCGGAGGGGGCGGCGCCGGCACGAACGCTGGCGTCGGAGGGGCGGGGCTGGTGCTGGGCGGCGCCTCCGTTGTCGGGCCCCACACCTTGAACACGATCTTCATGTTGTGGGTGGTGCACCGGCCGCCTATCCGCCGGTGCAAGTCGTCGCTCGTCGACGTCGAGATGAAATAGTAGTCGTGGCCTGAAAAATTCAAAAGTGTAGGGTTCTTGTCCTAATCGGCGTTGTTCTGACCGCTCGGTGTTCAGTAACAGATTACTGGGGAAAATACTAATAGAATTCAAGATCACATCATCATTCTTCTTCCTCTATTCATACTTTTTTTCATTATACGCAAATTATGTTCCATTCTATGTGTTGCTACTGTCATTATGTGTTATATTAGTTTATATTTTTTTTAATTATGAGGTTACTGTGGTAGTTGTGGAACAATCTACAAGAGGAAGATTTTCCCGGTTCTGCTAACGTTAAGCAGTTCAAAAATCGTATTAACAACGTTTCTTTGGGATCATCATAGCAGCCGCGGTGTTCCGGCATTTAGACTTCTGCCTGCGCGGCTGCTTCGATATAAAAAAAAACTATCTCGTTTGCATTAAATCTTATTTGACATTTCAGTTTTAAAATGGTGCGACATTTCTGCATAAAAATTCTATTATTGCTATTATTTTAACAATTACGTTTGGCCTCCAATAATTTTTTTTCTGAAAGATATAATAAGGCTACCTATTACCGTTGACTATCTAACAACGGAACATAGTCACACACATTACAGAAGCATCCCTTATTATTTCGTTAAATTTGAACACACTTCTTTGATGCGGTACGCGGCGTCTCCGTGAAGAATGTAAAGGCAAGTCGCATCAATTATTATCTGTGAGTAACAAGGCCTTCTAGACATCAAAACAATATACATCAACCAACCTGTAGGCTACGTAATTTCTTTACGTCTTGCGACGTCTTCATTTGATTGCCTCATATGGGGAACGCATAATGGCAGCTAGTATACAGGTATTGAGAAAATTTGAATCCAATAGATAATGACATTTTGACTATTTGACGCTTACTATTTGCTGCAGTATTATACTAAAAATTGTCTTGAAGTTTTAAAATTGATTTACTGAAGCTGCGAATTGTATTCAAGACGAATCGCTCATATCGGGATATTTATCTTAGACGCCTCGTATATAAAATAAATTGATAAATCCACAGTAACCTCATTTAAAATGTAATTCGCTAATAATTTCATTGCTACTATTGTTGTAGCGGAGATGAAGAAGAGTTGTATCATTATATTTGATCATAATCATTTTAGGTGCACATCAGGAGCAGCAGAAAGCTAATTATTATCGATGCATGTGGCTCAGACGTAAATGCAAATTAATCCTCAGTTGATTTAAGAGGGGCGCTTTAATGTATACAGTATGTTATTACGAGCAGTGAACAGCCTTGGCATCGCAGGAAATCAAAATCTCTTCAGATACCGGTAGAGAGAAGGAGGGTAGTCTTAGCTGACTAATTAAGGTACGAGCGTTGTCTCAAAAATAAGGTTGGCGACTATGGAGAAAAATAGCTTGAAGATCATCGTTTCCAATGGGGACCTCGTTTTACCAAATCAAAAATTCCTTGTTTCTGAAAAAATGTGAGAACCCTATTTTTGAAACAACCCTCGTACAAGTGCAAGGATCTTGGGAATGCAGCCAAAAAGCAAAAAAATTCAAGCCAGAAAAGTTCAAAAATCTTAATTTTTCTCAACAGGGCACGCGAAAAATATAATCTGTGATAATTTCAATCAAATACCATATCATTAATCACTAAATGATGTCGTTTACAGTACTATACTACTGTACTTAACGGGTCCTTATCTAACTTAACCTAAATTACACGGAAAATTAAACTCTACGTACAACGAAATCTTTTTTCGAGACCACCAATCCAACAACAGAGAATAAAATCGTGGTTAATAAACAACAATGCACAGGAGACAGGAAATACGGAATAGGAACACGTTGTACACTTAAAAAAAACTTTTATGTCGATTATTGGAGTATTCAAGAAGGAGAACTACATGAGGAGCTATACTTACTTCGTTTTAAGCTATCTCGAAACATAAATTTATTTGTCAAATTGACATAATGAAACCGATAGAATACAATTTCAAATGACATTCATTATTTATCTAGTTGTTATTTTGTTTACGTCATGTACCTAGGAAGAGAAATGCTACGTTTCAATTAGGCCCTGCGATCATTGATTTTTCGGGTCAGTAGTAAAAAATATGTTTATGTAACTGTATTGTCAAAAATAACACTGATCCACATGAGATCCTAAAAAAACAGTTTAAACTGTAATTCCATAATTTCAACGATAACTAAAAGACATGCAACTTGTCCATACATGTTGTTGAAACGCCGCCCTTAATGCACAGTTTAAATGAAATCAAAACTCCACAGCGGCTGGTCGATATTCAAAAGGAAATGAACCGATTGTGTTCGTAAAACACAACAGCCGACCCGTGATTTTTATAATACATCAAACATAGCTGTCAGTCACGTGATGTGCCGTTACGTCTTGGAACAATCTGCAGGTAGGCAATAATTACGGACTCGCTTTGCTTTGCAGCCTGCAGCACGTTATGTTGTTACTAGGGCATCTCTTAATAAATTATTCACCAAAGAGATACCTTTTTATTGATCGTTATCCAAAATTGTCATTTATTATTTCATACCGTTGCCCCACTTACATATTTTTGATGTGTATATCGCCGTAGGTACCTATTCGTCATCTATAATAAAACTGTAGGAGCGAACCCTGGTTTGATCTATTTTTCAAGCGGAAAAGTAGCTAAGCAAACCAAATCTTACACTACGTGATTGTTAGGATCGTTTTTCAGAATCTAGTAGCGATATTTTTACTTTATACGGCAACTGGAGAGAAGTATTGTAATCACGAAAAAATCGAAGATGAGATATATTTTGTCGATGTGAAGAAGTACATCACGGGAAACCATGTCCGCTAATCCTTGGTCACTCTATAACTTGGATAGTGCCGCTCGAATTTTGATAAAATTTTGAAGTTTATTACTAAGCCAAGGAAAGCTTTCTGGTTGTCGAAAATCGCCCAAACTTCAGAGACTCCTACTCATTCTTGTTTCAAGTGTTAAAAAAATGACGGTGGAGGGTTATCGAGAATACATGTATACCTCTAGTCATAGTACAGTCGGAGAAACTGTCTGAATCGCAACATTGTCATATGGGTGGGGACTAATTGTATGGGCTTGTTTAACTGACTCGATCCATTTAATGTTTCTGTTATACGTGTTCGTTGCTTACTTTTTTGTAAGAGAGGTCAACTTTTGCAGAACTGATAGTGTGCCGGAAATGCAGAGTCAACCTTCTTGACGTCATTTTTTGAATAACGCTCAAAATTAGTCGAAACAATTGATATTATCGATTTACCTGAAAATATTTAGTAGCCAAGGAATCATTTAACTCAATAAAATATTCAAATAAATGCATTTTTATCTTAACACGAGGCCATCGCTACTATGTGTAAGTCAGCATCTATTTTGCATGTATTTTCGGTTGCTGCGAAAAATGTCTGTCATATATTAAATCTTGGCCAATTCTATATCTCCTAATATTCGCCATTACATTTTTCCGGAAACACACAGGATAAAAATAAATCTGGCATCCACGTTAACGGCTGCAAGTGACGTGGAACAAAAATGACAGTTTCGGGGCATTTTTATTCAGAATTTTGATCAATTTTCTGTTCCTTTGTAGTATCTTTGATGTCTCTTAATTTGGGCACCAATAAATCATCCGCTAGCAGCCTCAACGTTTGTTTTGTCTATCATCGACGATTCAGCAACACACTGTACATCAATTAATATTCCCCCACGCAAGATGACGCAGTATCTTGAGGTATCCAATAATTGGTATGGGGTATGGGTGATGAATTGAAAGTGAATTCCTGCATTGTGAACCAAGATTGATTACATTATCCCTCACAAATGAATCACATCTGTCTAATACATTCATAGTTTTGCAAGCCCACTAGTCTAGCGGTACTTATAATAAGCAACAATATTCGAGAATAGTTTTAATAATTCATGTCATCCGTTTTTCAAGGGTGATGCAGAATGAAACAGAACCTCTAAGAAATCCTCCCGCTTGATTTTTATTTCGGATCCCAAGAGAACTTGGCCATAAATTACACGTCAAACTGTCAACATCAGAGATTCAAGGTTATATTTCTCACGCCTAACGGAAGCAGAACCTCCGTAGCTAAAACAGCTTCACATTCTAAAGCTCTGACTGGGCATGGAAAACTTACATTACGAATTATTACGTTATAAGTTTAGCGCGAAATTTGCGATATTGTTTTTGCATTTCTAGTTCATAGGAGAAAGTGTAAACACTTTGAAAAGTGGGCACAACAAATTGATTCTGCACCACCAATGCACATATACCAGCTAGAAAACAGTAAATAAAGTTCCAGGACTCTCGGATGAACGAAATTAATTGTTCAAACAAAAATAAACAAATATTCATGCTTAAAAATACATTTGCAGATATTACATCTTACTGATTCCAGCATTCAAAATTTAGATAATCACATCAACATCGTCTTGGTACTGTTAGATTTCTCGAAAGCCTTTGATATGGTCAATCACCAGATACTACTGCGTAAGTTATCTCATTATGGAATGTCAGATATAATAGTTCTAAGGTTCTTTGAGTCATACTTGCTAAATCGTCAACAAGCAGTGAAAACTGATCAGGGAATTCTCTCCTCTGAGCCAGTTCCTTCAGGAGTTCCTCAGGGCTCAGTATTAGGTCCCTTACTATATCTGATTTATACGATCGATCTGCAAGACTGTTTAGTCCACTGTAGTATGCAAACTTATGCAAATGATACTCAGTTAGTGTTTGGTTTCGATCCATCAATGGTTGATGAAGTTTCTTTTAAAGTTAATTTAGATTTGGCCAACATCGGTGACTACTGTAACAAACACTGCTTGAAGATCAATCCTAATAAAACTACTGCAATGTTGAACTGTTCGAAGAACTCCTACCGTGAAATGAAGCAGAGGATTTGTGTTTTTTTGGATGAGACACTCATCCCTTTCGTGGATTGCGCCAAGAATCTCGGTGTTACCCTTGACTTAAATATGAGATTCGATCGGCATGTCTCTTTCTTATCTAGAGTAACGTATATGCGTTCGAAACTCCTCTATTCTAATCGATTCATCTTGAATTTTAAAACCCGAAAAAAGCTCGGTGAAAGTTTTGTGTTGTCTGTCATTTCTTACTCTCTTGTCCTTTATTACCCATGTTTAGAAAACGTCCACAAAAGGAAACTCCAGAAAATTCAGAACAGCTGTTGTAGGTTTATTTTTAGATTGCGCAAGTTTAGTCGCGTCTCAGATAAAATCAAGGAACTCAACTGGTTGCGAATTGATAAGTTATTTTTATATCTTTTGACCGTCTTCACGCATAAAGTTCTATTATCTAACAGACCAGCTTACCTCGCTAGCAAATTAGTTCACCGATGTAGTTTTGTTACCAGAGCTCTTAGATTTAATGCTAATTTTAACATGCCTCCTCACAATACCTCGGTCTTTGAAAGAAGTTACACTTATAATGCTGTCAAGCATTACAATGCAGTCAACAGTGGCTATCGATCCAAACAGGTTGTTTCTTTTAAGAAATTAATGATAAGTCAGCTCCATTTATTTCAGTTTTTCTTGTGCTCATGTGATTTTTTTTTGTTTGACTATTTTCTACTATTTTTGTTTCAAATTTAAAACTCTCGCAATACTATCTGCATTTGTCTCGTGCAATCAATGTTGTCATTCTTATGAATTGTATTTTTTTTGGTATGTTACTATTTTGTTTATGTGTTTAAGTATTCTTTTTTCCTGGCTAAACTTCGCCTCACTGCAGCTAATAAAGGCATTATTATTATTATTAAAAATAAGATTTATTTAAAGAAAATTTGCAAGACCTTGACTACTGGAAGGAAACGGGAATACTGTTCGTGAAAGATTTTTTAGAGAGCTTGGATTAGCTATACCATTTGTAATTTTGCCTAAGCAGCTGTAACGAGTTTCAACGCAAGCCGTTTACAATGCTTATAATAACTGTTAATGCTGATAATTCTGTTTACTTTTTCCGACCGTATAATTACATTGAATGGATGGTATTTTAACAAACCAAGTCCACTGCAAAAGCCTTCATAAATTATATCTTGTACAAAATCTCTCACAGAATGCAGGCTTAATGAGCACCAAGCAGAAAATTAGCAGTTGTGCATTTTTATACGACAAGCATAGTCATTTGAACACTGATACAATATAATAATACACATGCTGAATTCGATTAGGCTACATCAGAGGGCCAAAAAATATAAGAAACTATTTAAGTACTGAAACTAGGTACACAAATTCAAGGAATTATCATAAGAATACGCGCTTAGTGGTTAAATATAGAAGAATTTATATTTACGCTACCTTTCGCATCGTAAGTTCAAATTCAAAGGACTTTTGAGACAGGAATAAAATATTAAATATCTAATTTGTATTGTATAAAATGAGCATCGTACACAAGTCAGTATGGTATATAATGAGACCTCAGAGTGAGGTTCTTTGTACTTTGGTTTTTGGATGCAAATGGTTGCGGCTTGGGCGCCACCTAGTTTCAAGTTCTAGGAAAACAAATAAGTAACCAATGTTGGATTTCTGGCGGTAAAGGAGATACAAACTCACAAGGTACACAAACATTTATTGGACAAATGAAATAAAAAAATCAAAAGTAGACCTGGAGATTAAGCAAAGAAAATTATTTTGAATCCAAATTTATGAAGAAAACATTTTTTTACAACAGCGTGTATTTAACAAGAAAAAAAACATTTATATTTTCTATCTTCGAAATCGACAGCTGTTTAAATATTATTTTCAATTTTTACATATACAGTAATGGACAAAAGTATATAGACAAATATGAGTGTTTATCTAAATACCTTTAGAAAACGAATTCATACTTCATTGCTCCATAAACAGATGCGTTATTAGTAGAAAAACTAAATTCCTTGTTTTTACATTATCTGCAATGAATACAATACAAGTCTGAATATAAGCACTTTTTTATGAGGGACAAACGTATGTAGACAAATTCTTTTCAACATTAGTTTAGTACAGTTTCGTGAGTATTGTGGAATAAGTTGAGTGATTTTAAGACCATGCCGCGTGGTCCAGAAATTTCTTTCGACGTGAAAACTAAGATCATTTGAGTTATACAAAGATGGTCAACGTCAAGTCGACATTGCCAAAAATTTGCAGCTGAAGCGTAAAGCAGTTTGGGCAATATTGAACAAATATAAACAAAAAGGTATCTTGGAAGCCTCTAAGAGAAGTGGTCGGTCTAGAAAACTAAATGCACGGTTGCAATTTGATTGGAGCATCTGTGACTGGAAGAGGGTATGTTTCAGTGACGAATCCAAGTTCAATATGTTTGGATCAGATGGTGTTCATTACGTTAGACGTTGAGATTGAACCCCAAGTGCACTTTACCCACTGTCAAACATGGAGGCGGGTCTGACATGGTTTGGGGGTGCTTTTTGGGGTTTGGGATGCGACCTTTACATATATAGATGGCATTATGGATAAGTATGTATACACAGACATACTAAAGCATGTCATGTTACCCTATATGGAAGACAATATGCCCTTAAGATCAATCTTCCAGCAAGATAATGACCCGAAGCACACTTCAAATCTCGCAAAGAAATTCTTTCTGGATGAAAAAATACCAGTTCCCAAATGGCCTTCACAGTCTCCCGATATAAACACCATTGAAAATCTATGGGAATTCTTAGATAAGCAAATACGACATAAAAATTATTCAAACAAGGATGTACTTCTACAATCTATGCCGAGACGATACCAGGCGGTGATTGATAATAATGGTTATGCTACAAAATATTAACACAAACATGGTTGGTTTTCTATAATTCAATTAATTTTGCTTCTTTTTCCTATAATTGTTTTGCTTTGTCTATATATTTTTGTCCTTCATAGTTCCAGTTTTTTTCAATTAATTTTTTATCGAAGGGAGTTAATGAATTTATTTATGTATAAGTGAGTATTATGCTATAACGAATTATGTATACAGGTTGGTGTATTAATAAAACAAGTTAAAAAAGAAATACAGCACAATATTAATTTGTCTATATACTTTTGTCCATTGTATATAAGGCGTAAAAGGACATTTTTTGGTATAAAAAGCCATTCTATTGCGCCAAAAGTGGCATCACTGCAACTTGCAGTGGTATTTTTTACAAAAAATAGATTATAATCAACAATGCCAAAAGAAGCAGTTACCATTCACTTGAAAAATCATTGGTGTGCCAATTTTTTGTAAAAAATATCAAAAGACATTTTTGCAGGGACGCCACAGGTGGCGCAATAAAATAACCTTTTACACTAAAATATGTTATTTGATATGATCTTATAAGATGTGAAAAATAATATCCAAAGTACTTTCCAAGATATAAAATAAAAATCATCTCTTTTATAAAAATTTAATACGTTTTAGCAAAAAAAAGCCATTGGGGCATATCTTGACTAACTTTCATAAAATTATTTGAGTAATAATCCTGGAATATTAGCTAAAATTATTTTAGGAATAATCCTGGAATATTAGCACATCATTAAGGAACAATGTAAATAGGCTCAATGCGCAGGCAAAAGCCTAAATGCCAGGGCACCAGGGCTGTCATGAAGATCCCAAAGAAACTTTGTTAACCAGATTTTTGAACTGCCTAAGGTAAGTAGAACTGCGAAGAATTCCACATCGTTTATACAGACTCCTTTCAAACTAGCTTGTTCCATGTACGAGTATATCTTGCTATAAGTAAATAATGTCAACAAACAATGTACTACATACCTGGTAGAAATTCCAGCCCACCAGGCTGAGGTGTGAACGGTCTAAATGTAATTGTAAAATACATCAGCTTGTAGGGCTTATCGCACACAGCTATTATCCTAGGGTTTGGATTCGTTATCCTACATGTTTCGTATTCGTCTTTCGACACGTTGTATATTATATACTTCTCCATTTCTTCATCCCGCGTGCCTGGCATGTACACGGGACAGATCAGGTTCACCTAGAAAGAGAAAAGAAGTCACTGTTTGCTGAATTATCACACGGTTTTAGGGATAAAAATTGTAGCCTATTACGAACTCCACAAAAAATAGCGTCAAACATCGAAAAAAAAACAAGCAGGGGTATCTGAAATGTCAAAAAACGTTGTTCGAGCGACTTTACTTTTCTCATTTTCTGTCTGTACCTCCGACGTAATTGATTTTTACCGAAATACAGAGAGACCGGCGGTAAGGAGTACTGTATACAGGGTGTCCAAGATGAGTATTATATTCAAGAGGATCTCAATACCTGTAGGGTAACAGCTTAGGTTAAATCAGAAAAAAAGCAGGGTTCTTTGGGCGATATTTAAATGCTGTTAAGGAAATTACCGTAAACATTTCTTGGATTACGACGATATTTGGGACAAACTAATATTTGGCCAAATTATTTTTATTTTTTCTGTCTATTTTAAGAAATATCAAGAAACTAACGAAACTTTTCCACTTTTCCATTGGCAGTTTTTAGGCACTACATGATGGTGTTTTTAACTTTTTATATGAATTCAACGATGTAAGCTACATTTGTTTTCTTGGTTATAAAGAAACATGACTGTGTTTTAACAGGAGAATTCAAAACATCATGTAACATTTCTGGTGTTATCATAGTAAAAGCTTCCATTACACAGTCTTGTAACTGCTGCTCAGTTTCAAAAGTATGTTGATAAGCTTGGTTTTAAACCCCAAACAAAAAAGTCCAGTGGAGTTAAATCCGGGGAACGCGCTGGCCACGACACTTCGCTGGAAGTTCCAATCCAGATTCTGGGATATCGCTGAGAAACATACTCTAGAACTTACCTAGAGTTATGTGCAGGGTGCCTGTATATTTTTTTGGCCCGCAGATTTTCTTGAGCCAGTAATGAGTGTTTCAGCGATTATTAGTGCCTCTCGTCGGACCATACGAGGGTGATCCCAGAAGTACCCGACCCAACAAAGAAAACACAAAAATTTTGTGAAAAAATGTATTTATTCTCCAACATAATCTCCTTTGAGCTCTATACACTTTTCACAGCGATGTTCAATAAGTTCGATACCCTTTTTATAATAAGAACTGTCTAGCTCCTCAAAATAGCCATTAACTGCCGACATCACTTCTTCATCGTTGGAAAATCTTTGACAACTGAGCCATTTTGTCAAGTTTGGAAACAGAAAATAATCCAAGGGGGCTAAATCTGGTGACTAGGGTGCATGAGGTAGCAATTCAAACTTTAATTCGTTAATTTTGGCCATTACAATAACGGATTTGTGAGCTTGTGCATTGTCTTGATGAAACAACACTCTCTTGTTAACCAAATGCGGGTTTTTGCTTGATTTCATCTCTCAAACGTTGCAATAAGTTCGCATAATACCCCTCATTGATAGTTTCACCTTTTTCAAGATAGTCAATGAAAATTATCCCACGCGCATCCCAAAAAACCGACGCCATAACCTTGCCTGCAGATGTAACGGTCTTCGGTTGTCCCTTTTGAGTCCAAGGCGGTCATTTTAGCAATGAAGGAAAGTTGGGCATGGTGAAGTGACAAAAAATACTAAAAATACTGCAGAAATGTATCTTGTTCAATTCCTCGAAAAAAGGCAGCCAAGTAATTGCGTTTTCTTAGAGGTGTCTAGAAAAAGGAATCTTTAGAGAGGAAACTCAGTGCTTTACAAGCAGTTGATGGGAACTATCAACCAGACAAATTGAGAAAAATGTAGTGGAGTCCAAATACAGAGCCCAATTTATTTTGCGTAAAACTAAATATCAACACTATAAATTCGGGATTTGCCAACGACGCCATCAGTTTCATGCGTGGTACATACATCGTGTGGATTTTAATTTCCCTTCAAAAATACGAGGGTGGTCCCAGAAGTAGCCGGCCTGACCTAGAGATGGACATAGTTGTTTGAAAAATATCATTGTATTAGAAAGTATGCAACCTATAAAGCATATGTGTCAAGTTTGGAGACGCCACGTTGTTTAGTATTTGTTTGGCAGCCATCAATACTGAACGATTTCAGTGAATTTGTGAAAATGGAGAAAATTGGTCATCGTTATGTGGTACAATACTTTTATTTCAAAGGCCTCGGCCCAACCAATATAAAAGCTGAACTGGATTCTACTGTGGGTGAGTCTGCTCCTGCGTTTACAACAGTAAAATATTGGGTAGCAGAGTTTAAACGAGACCGTATGAGCTGCCAAGACGAGCATCGCAGTGGTCGACCAAATGAGGTGACGACTCCAGAAATCGTGAAGAAAATTCACAAAGCGATACTGAATGATCGTCGACTGAAAGTGCGCGAGCTAGCAGACATGTAGGCATTTCAAAAAGTGCGGTTCATCGCATATTATCTGAAAATTTGAACATGAGAAAGCTGTGTGCAAGATGGGTGCCGCGATTGCTCACAATCGAGCAAAAACAGTGTCGTGAAGATGTTTCAATTGAGTGTTTAGCGAAGTTTCACAGCAACGAAGCAGAATTTTTGTGTCGTTTCATAACCAAGGATGAAACATGGGTCCATCACTTCACACCGGAGACAAAAGAACAATCAAAACAATGGACTCAAAAGGGACAACCGGCTCCAAAGAAGGCGAAGACCGTTACATCTGCAGGCAAGGTTATGGCGTCGGTTTTTTGGGATGCGCGTGGGATAATTTTCATTGACTATCTTGAAAAAGATAAAACTATCAATGAGGAGTATTATGCGAACTTATTGCAACGTTTGAGAGATGAAATCAAGCAAAAACCCGCATTTGGTTAAGAAGAGAGTGTTGTTTCATCAAGACAATGCACCAGCTCACAAATCCGTTATTGTAATGGCCAAAATTAACGAATTAAAGTTTGAATTGCTACCTCATGCACCCTAGTCACCAGATTTGGCCCCCTCGGATTATTTTCTGTTTCCAAACTTGACAAAATGGCTCAGTTGTCAATGATTTTCCAACGATGAAGAAGTGATGTCGGCAGTTAATGGCTATTTTGAGGAGCAAGACAGTTCTTATTATAAAAAGGGTATCGAACTTATTGAACATCGCTGTGAAAAGTGTATAGAGCTCAAAGGAGATTATGTTGGAGAATAAATACATTTTTTTACAAAATTTTTGTGTTTTCTTCGTTGGGTCGGGTACTTCTGGGATCACCATCGTATGGTCCGACTAATAATCGCCGAAACACAATTACTGGCTCAAGAAAATCTGCGGGCCAAAAAAAAAACCTACAGGCGCACATAACTCTAGGCAGGTTCTAGAGTATGATTCTCATCGATATCCCAGAATCTGGATTGGAACTTCCAGCGAAGTGTCGTGGCCAGCGCGTTCCCCGGATTTAACTCCTCTGGACTTTTTTGTTTGGGGTTTAAAACCAAGCTTATCAACATACTTTTGAAACTGAGCAGCAGTTACCAGACTGTGTAATGGAAGCTTTTACTATGATAACACCAGAAATGTTACATGATGTTTTGAATTCTCCTGTTAAAACACAGTCATGTTTCTTTATAACCAAGAAAACAAATGTAGCATGTGATACATCATTGAATCCGTAGAAAAAGATGGTATCACTGTTTATCATTTGAGGGTGACTTAAATGACACTCAACACTCCCTACTTCAGTGGCGATTAAAACTCACCTGATCATATTCAAATTTCATATTATTCCTATTAACATCGATGATATTGTCTGTATTATCGATGCGAAATATGGGATTGGACGAGTTCCAATGTATCGTGTAGAACTTGGCGTTGGTAGGCATGGTCGCCAAGGCGGACCAATGGTGTAGCACGAAGGCCAACAGTAGCGCGCCTCGGGCGGCAGCCAGCTGCCCGGCTTGCCAATGCATCGCCGCTAAGCCCGATGCTCGAATCGACCCGATGGGCGGCCTATAGCGGCCCCTCGACTCTATCTCACGCTCTCCACCAGCTCAGCTTCTGCTCCTGGTGATGGCTTCTTCTGCTGCTTCTGCTCCTCATCAGCATAGTCTGGTATTCACATCGCATCTGGACTGGCGGATTGGTAATCTGGAAAGAAGGAGTAGTCTGAGAATGTGTATTCAAGTATAATAATAACTTCCATAAATAATACTCTTTTAGACATAGAATGGGAAAAATTATTTAGTACCAAATCTGCAGATGAAGCTGTAGCCATATTCTATAACATACTCAATGAAACTATTCACAAATTTACACCAACATATAAAATTCGAGGAAAATACCCAATATACTTTAAACTTGAAACAATACAAACAGTTAAGAGAAAAAATAAGTATCATAGACTATACAAACGTTTTAATGATCCATACTCATATCAGATATTCTGTGACCTTAGAGCCAAATCAAAAATCTTAATTAAGGAAAACCTGGATGAATACATAACAATGATGGAAAACAATATATTGAACGACAGCCGATACTTTTGGAAATACGTTTCAAGTAAGAAAAAATGTCATGTCTCTATACCTACGAGTAGTTCTATAAATCATTCAAACTATGAAGTTAAAACCGGAAGTGGGGTGTGTAATGCCTTTGCTGATTTCTTTGCAAGTGTATATGTTAAATCTAAACATTTTTATTTAAACAAGGATGCTAGTCCTATTGATGTTACCTTAATATCCATTGAAAAAATATATCAACAAATAGTGTTCTTAGAAATTAAAAAATCAGTAGGCCCTGACGGCATACCTTCTGTATTTATAAAAAACTGTTCCGCTAGCTTATGTTTACCACTTCACCTAATTTTCAAACTATCATTAACTCAAAGAGTCTTTCCAACGAGATGGAAAGAAGGTGAAATATTGCCTATTCATAAAGGAGGCGATAGACATCTTGTGGAAAATTATCGACCTATCACTAAACTTTGTATTTTCTCAAAAATTTTTGAAAAGCTGATTTATGATCCTATCTTAAACATTACAAAAAATATCATTACGGAACACCAGCATGGATTTTTCCCTAAAAGATCTGTAGAGACGAATTTGATGAGTTTTATAGAATATGCCTCTCACGCAATAGATGAGAAACTGTAGGTGGATGTTATTTATACCGACTTCAGTAAGGCTTTCGACAAGATTGATCATTCTATCTTGATGGAGAGACTTGCTGAGGTGGGTGTAGATGGTCCATTATGGCAGTGGCTAGCATCGTATATAAGTAATCGTAAACAAGTGGTGACTATCAATGGGTATCGTTCGGAGACATTCTTAGTAACTTCAGGCGTACCACAAGGTAGTCACTTAGGACCATTGTTATTTAACATATACATCAACAACCTTACTTCTGTTTTTCATTTCAGTAAATATTTGTTATATGCTGATGATCTAAAGATATTTACTATTGTTAGAAATGTAAATGACGGTGTAAAACTTCAAAGCGATTTGGAATCTCTGCAAAAGTATTGCACTGAAAACAGTATCTTCCTGAATTTAACAAAATGTCATTACATGAGGCTTACTAGAAACATAGCTAACACTATAGATTTCAGATATAAGATAGGGACGGCAGAACTGGGAAAGCTTCATGTAGTAAAAGACCTAGGGGTATACATTGATGAGAAACTCTCATTCATCACCCACGTAGAGCACATCGTAAATGATGCAAATAGAACACTAGGGTTCGTAAACAGGACATGCAGAGAATTTACGAGCCCAAAAACGCTTCTTTCATTGTACTACGCTTATATACACAACAAACTGATGTTTGCATCAGTAATATGGAATCCGTCTTACAATGTACATATAGTCAGGATAGAAAAAGGCTTTAAAGTATGAGTATTACAGCTCTATGGCAGACTAAAATAGAAATGTTTTATTTTTTTTACATAACTCAAGTTATCACCTCCAATATCATTTCTGGTATAATTTCAATTTAATTTTGATTTCAGTTTTAATTAAACGTAAGTAAATGTTAAATTATGTATACATATTCCTTTATTAAAAAAGTTAAATTAATAGTTAATTGCTTATAATTAGAACTACTCACTCAGTTTATGTTGTTACAACAATATCGGAGGATAAAAAAATATTAATATTGAAGTATTCAATAATGTAATATATGTATATGTATACGATATTTTATGTAAGTTTAGTTTTAGTTCACTGAGGGTGTGTGTTGGGTTTACCTGTTAACACCCCAAACTGTATATAAATAAATAAATAAATAAATAAATAAATAACAACAATGCAAAGTACATACGTGCAACCACAATGTTAGGAGAAATAACTTCATCACAAGAGAAAAACAATAGGGAGAAAAAATCTAGAATCGTGCTAAATAGTCATTGAGACAATAAGGTTCTAGATCTATCAAACATTTGTGTACTTTTCTCTTAAAGAAATAAAGATATTCACAATCCCCCTCGATTTGAAACATTTAACAGATCGGAATTTTCTGACAGCTACCAGTGTGTGCTCAGCATCAAAGACCTAAGCTTTGATTTGAGTCTTGGTCGGCACATCGTAATAATAGAGCCAAGTCTTTTCACCTGTCTCCTTACGTGTAAATGAACATGAAAAATTGAATGAATTGCTGATGCATGAAGGTGTAAGGTCTCCTCTATCTGTTGGTATGACACTCTCCGGTCTTTTTCAAGCATTTTCCTCACAGCAGTAATGTTTTCCACTGTTACTGACGTTCGCGGCCTTCCTTCCCTCTTGGAATTCCCTGTGCCACCTGAATATAGTCGTATGAAGAGGACAATCATTCTTTAATGCAAGCTTAAACCACGCGTAAAAGTTATACCGTAAGACAGCCCTTATCTCACTACGTGGTTGCACTGTCAATACGAATGATTAACAGAATCAACAAATGTGCTGTTGGCGGCTACTATGCACTCATGGACATGCCTCAACATGCAGCCTACTGCGTCCATTTGTTAAGTCATATTTCAAAATTTTTATAGTACCCTTTTTACATTGAAAACAATTGAAAATAACAGCTAAAACTAGTTAATAGGTTGATACCTTGATGAAAAATCTGCTAATCATGTGTCTATCTCCTAAAGAGTTTTTGCAGCTTGAGTTTTTGGATGCCATAGCTTTCACAAAACGATAATGTTTTACCTAGACACCTATTTTTGCAACAGGAAAGACCATTATAATGATGAAGCTAAATGTTTTTTTGAGTATGGAGATGAGAAATCGGAACTTCGCGAGACAGTAGCCCACTAATGTTGATCCCCAGAAGGTCGCGCACAAGTTTCGATTTCTCAAGAAAGAGGAGGAACTATTGTATTACATGCCAAAAAACTTTAATATTTAGTACTGTTAACTCTCGCCCTAAAAGCGTTCTCATAAACAATTTAATTCATTTAAGGAATCGCAACATTGATGCCTATGTTGCTATTTGCATATCACCCTCTAATCAAACAGTACAAAACAATTATCGTTTTTTGCACCTTCCTATGCCAACATTTTGTTATACATTTTGAGGTATTTATTCAAATTCTGGGATACTGCCATAAGGATCAGTTGCTGATACCGATCAGTATTTAGTGAATAATTTTCAATTTAACAAATATATAATCACAAATTTGTTCCAAAATGGGTTCATATTGTTAAATTAATATAAAGTGGTTATTTTTAAATGTCTGGTAATATGAGGATTAGTGGATTACTAACAAATAATAATTATTGGCATAATTAGTATAATGATGGAGTTAAATATGATAAATATATAGATTCTAGGGTGATTTATCATATTGTTATGAATGAGCAACTATGAGAGGCTATAAATACTTATTGCATAAAAAATGCAATGGGGAAATATTAACAAAAAAAAATCATGAATGATGTGACTGTAAGTTTTTATTGAGACCCATTTTTAATACAAATCTAGATAGGAAAACTATTACCCCAGTATATTCTGTCAAATTGAGCATCTAAGATGAACTGATATTTGCATAGTTGTTTTGAGAAACAGTTGATATTTATGAAAGTAAAAAACAGGCTTTTGGCTCTAAATGCACCATGCTGGGTATACAAACAATATAATCTTTGAGTAATATATGAAATAAAATCTTTTGCATCTCCATCTATCTCACTAGATCCATAGTACTTTAACTAGAAGTATAGTTTTCAGAATGACATAATTATATGTACTACTACGAGCCCCTTCCCACTTCAGTTGGCAGAACTATTGAAATCTTAGTTTTTTCTTAGCGAACACAAATAATAAAAATGTAGCAGGGGGTTATAGGTATTAACAATGAATATTTTGATAATATATAGTAGAAAACACCAACTTTATCACTCTCTAATCAAATTTGCAGCATAAAAATAACTCATGTTGCAATTACAGCATATCAAAGCATTTTCATTTCAATGCAAAATAAGTCTACAACGCATAGGTGCCTGTGAAAAATAAATGCCATGACAATTGTTTTTATAAACCAAAGCTGTCAGAATACGTTTAAAATAGTTTTGGGTAGTTAATCAAACTCAGAAATTGCAACTTTGTTAGACTTATCGCGGTACAGTGTGAGAAATATTGTTAGAAGATATAACGTAACTGGTTCAGTTAATATTAAGCCACGATATGTGAAAAAAAAGTAATATCACAAATGCCGACCGAAGAGCATTAAGAAGAATAAACGTGAAAAACAGGCGTGCCAATTATTTACAATTGAGTGCTCTGTGGAGTGACGCTATTGGAAGGAGAATTTCGAGGTCCACAACTCATAGAGAGGCCCACAAACTGGGACTTAGCACTTGCAAGGTAAGTTTTCTTATAAAAAAAAGTGAAGTAAAAACCCTAAAGTTGCACAACTTGTTTATAGGCCAAAGAAAAGCCACTATTAACTCCACTGCAAAAGAAAAATCGGCTTAGATGGGCTAAAGAACATAGACAATGGACACTCAACAATGGTGTGCAATACAATGGAGTGATGAGGTCCGATTCGAAGTTTGTGTTGGTGACAGTCACAGTAGAGTTATTCATGAGATGAAAAAGGTTCTACAACAACATCCTGCTCATAGAATCACCGAACTGAGACAAAACATGGTTAACACTATGCCCCAAAGAATTTCAGTCGTAATAAAAAATAAAGGTAATGTTACCCAATGGTAATCTTTCAATTGTTGCTTTGTTAACAGATGTTCTATTAGTTATAGGTCTAAGTGATTTCAAATATGTATTTTTTATGAATAGAGTGTATCTAAAATGTTTTTCAGAAAATAAATTGTTTTAGAAGTCAATAGTTTCGTCATGTTTAGTTTATAAAGGCATATTTTGGTACAAATCTTGTGAAGTGGGAAGGGGCTCGTATATCCCTTTTTTGTGATTGATATATGTATTTTAGCAATTAAAGTATGACAAAGTACTAATAATAGATCCATATGGCATAAAAACTATTTATTATATTCAGAAACTATTTCTAGATTAGTTTTGTTTAAAAAAAAACAGTTCTTTTAGAGAATCAGCAAGGTGAACTAGATATTTCAAGTGGCAACTTAGAAATTGTCTAGAATAACATGTTTTTACTTGCTCAATACAATCTAACTTATAATGGGTGAGTTAACTATAACAGAAATCATTTAAAGAGCGTTTATTTATGCAAAAGTGGAAAAAATACAGCAATGGACTGAACTGGCTACCAATAAAAATGTCATATCAAACCTAATAGTCAATCCAATCCATTCTAAGGCCTATTTGAAACTTTGAAATGAAAAGGTGAATGAGAAAATAAGTATTATCATGACTTTTTTAGTCCCATCATGCCACAGAGTGGAGAACATGCTCAGGAATGTGGTAAGGGGAACGCGTTTTATGACTACTATAGGTAAATCCAAGGAATCAATACAAATATAATCTGAGAGCTCATACCTGCTCAAAAATGCATAATATCTCTTTCCGCGGTGCTTATAACTCCTATACCACATCTTTCAATTCACCATCTGGTCCTCAAAGGGCCATATTACACTCGAAAAACGGTAAAACGCTCTCACAAACATTTCTTTTGTGCTTTACATCTTGTTTACGTCCACGGAAAAATGTGGTTATGTTTCCTCAGCCCAAGGCCCATGCCAAATCGGCATTTATCGAGTTGCCGATGGTATGCAACCAGTATTACGGCGGCCCGGTGCGGACAGGACCGGCTCGAGCTGTTATTTGCAGATTTGTTACGATTTGGGCTTCAACAAAACTTGGCGATGGATCTCAGATTCTCAGGAGCTTGGATGAAGTTCGGTTAGCTTCAAAATTTTAGGCGACAACAAACTGTAATTGTTTGTTTTGAACGTTCTGTTATGTTTTAAGCGTATAGTTTTAGAGAGGTCTTAGGAACTTGACCCCTTAGTATTTCAGGGCTTCGTAATAAAAAGGATAATAGAGAACAAACGATTTTGAAACAAAAACCTCAATTCTCGACTTACAATTTCCATATCATGCTCGAAGAATTGCCATGTAGGAAGGAATTAAAAAAATATTGTGGTGCGGATTCAGAAACAAAAGTTAAAAATTCATGTGTATGGAAAATATAAATATATTCAATTTATGAAGACTTAGGAGGTATTGAGTGAACGTTTAGAACTATCGCTCACTTTGAATGAATCGAAAATCTGGCATGTCATTTAGGTTGCTAGCTAAATAATAATAACAAACACATATTAACAGTATAATACTGCACATCACGAGGGAATTTCCTCAAAACCAATGATATTCACTAAAATTAATCATTGACAAAACATAAGATAGTCATAATTTATTTAAACACCTGAAAATTTTAATACGTCTTATATTACTAAAATGGCTCAGCCCCAAGGGAAAATTGGGTGAAACAACGTTAATCTCTAATGAAACAGGCAGAGTCTTCGGTCTCTATTAAATTGTTAATGAAACTTGACGAAACACAAATGAATTCATGTAACCACTGAAGGACAGACTAATTTAAGAAATAAGTTTTCCCTTATAGTCAATATGCGCGACCCAAAAACGTCAATCCACAAATTGAACCGAATCTATAAATGTTATTACGGTACTTGTGAACAATAAGCGTTTATTATTTTGTCATACAAATACACCGGAGATTCTGATTTTAGATATTGAATCTGATGTTTTGATCGTGTTTCTCAATCATCAACTCAATTCATAATATACTAAGTGACATATAAATCCGAACACCCAGTTTAAATGGTTTTATTTTAATAAAAGTTGGTGAATGTATTTATCTTACTGTAAATAACAAGTGAAAAAATTTTCAGCCTTATCGGTTGGACATTCCGGTTTTTATACTGCTTTTTTTTATTCACTAACGCTCTAAAAATGAATATTTCAGCCGCAGTAAAGAATCAACGTTGGCGGATTTTGGTTCTTGACATCCTTTACGATCGGTTACGATGCCTAGAGTACGGAGACCTGTACGATTTCGTCAACTTAGTGAGTTTGATAGGGGCCGTATAGTGGGACTTCGGGAAGCTGGACTTTCTTTTCGGGCAATTGCAGTTAGAGTGCAAAGAAGTGTAGACACTGTGGTTAGGTGTTGTCAGGCATGGATTCGAGAAGGCCGTACGCAAAGAGCAAGGGGCACTGGACGCCGCCGTAGAACAACAGACCGTGAAGATCGCCGCCTAAGATTATTGGCCTTAAGGGACCGTTTCTCCACTACCAGGTCCAGTGTAAATGAATGGTTTGCAGAACACGGAAGACCTATTGACATGCGAAGTGTTTACCGACGAATGAGAAGTTTTGGCTTGTTTTCATACCGGCCACACTGGGTCCTCTCTTTAACTCGAGAACACCGACGTAATCGCCTCGAGTGGTGCAGACAACGGTGACTCTGGGATCAGGAATGGAACAGTATTGTCTTTAGTGACGAGTCTCGATTTTGTTTAGGCATGCACGATGGTCGTGCCAGGGTTAGAAGGCGACGTGGTGAAAGGAGGAATCCACAGTTTTTTGTTGAAAGACATGTTCATCACACTGTTGGAGTTATGGTTTGGGGTGCTATAGCTTATGGTTCCAGGTCACCTTTAATCTTCATCATCTCCCGACTTATCCCCAATTGAGCACGTGTGGGATATGATGGGCAGGAGATTGCTCAATTTGCAACGTCCTCCTCAGACTCTAGAAGCACTTCGAGAGGAGTTGATGGTTGCCTGGAATGAGATACCACAGGAGGACATTGATCACCTGATCAGAAGCATGCCTAGGCGCGTTGGAGAATGCGTAGCACATCAGGGTGCATCCACACATTATTAAAGGTCAAAGGGCTTTAAAGCAGTGCAATCATTTTGAAATTTTTATCATTTACTTATTATGCTTCATTAAGTACTTATACAAAACTTTATTAAAATAAAACCATTTAAACTGGGTATTCGGATTTATATGTCACTTAGTATATCTATGAAGATAATTTTTGTTTAGTCATTTCTGGATGATCCCAGATCTAGACTGGATGATTTTAAAATGTTTTACCCAAAGAGAAAATAAATGAATGGATTCTGAGGGTAATGTTTTAAAGATCATCAATTTATAATTTTTTTATACATAAAATCAAACTAAAATGTATGGGCGAATAATCTTTTTGATTCAGTTTACGATGGTACTTCCAACTTTCACTGGAAATAGCACATTTTTCTTTGATGAATGCCGCTAGGGACTAGTAATCGCTATTATCGCGAAGAAAGAGTTGATAAAGTGTGAACGTGCGTTTGTGTAAATATATCTTATCTACAAAATTGTAAACAAGCTGAAAAAGGCAGAGTAAATCTAGGCGTGTGCCATGAGTCAATGTTTTATCTGTGTTATCAGTCATCAGAATACGAGACTACGGAAATAGGATCGGCTGTTTCGCTGTTCAAACATTCGCTGTATGCAGTTAGCAATATCTTTTATGACAAGTGACGATTAGCGATAGTGGTCAGATTATTAAAACGAAACAGACGCATTTACCGGCAGCTCAGTTTTTTTTTGGAGACACGTTCAGACCCGTCGATTTTGTTTTCGAGGGGACACAAGTTTTGCAAAAAATCACGTTAGCACGTGCAGCCCCCTAAGCGGGGTGACACCACCCCCATAATCTTAAATGGAAATGGGGGTCGAGTGATACCTTATTTTAAAGGTCTTTCAATTCCCTTTATAATGATATAAAATTAATGTACTTCAGTTCAGTAGTTTTGAAGATTTATTGATTTAAAGTTTAAATAAAACTAATACATCATCATTAGTGGAGATCAATACATTTGGCAGCAAAGTAATTTAAAAATGAAGAATGAACTGACCCGTTAGGCAAGTAAATGTTGAAAATGGCCACCAAACGTGATTTTTTGTCAAACTTGAGTCCCCCTCGAAAACAAAATCGACGGGTCTGAGCGTTTTTCCAAAAAAAAAACTGAGCTGCCAGTAAATGCGTCTTTTTCGTTTTCGATGGGCCACCCTGTATGTTGAATAGGTAGAAAGATACAAGGATGAGAGGCCCTGGAAGAACTGTGGTACTTTTACGCTAATACAGCTTAACTGCTTCAATTTCATCACCCCGAAATGCAGCATATATTGAGCGGCAGGGGCATTATGTAGAAAATCCAAAAAAACGTCAAAAAACCGACAAAACGTCATCTTGCAGACTATTTAGTTTTTGAATGACTCAACGACACGACACGCTCAAGCATGCATTGTTGGTTGCAGAAAGGCAAGTAGGTTCTCTGAGAAGATATGAAAGAAAGAGAGTTGGTTGAGAAGTAAGATCGCATCTGGATGATTATGTGTATTGGTCTGCATTTGTATGTAATTTCGAATAATAAGCAATGAAAAATGTGATCCATAGCAATATTTCCGGCTTTCTCCATTATTATTATTAATAAACTGGGAACGTTATTCTAAAGTTTAATCTCTCAGAATTCAAATACAACATTAAGCCCAAAATAGGACTTTAAAACTGGTTTGTTGGTCAGTAACACTGTTTTCAATGTCTCATGAAAAAAATCAATTTATTTGCACTGACCGATTCATTTGTACAGTATATTCACTGAATCGAGGCGTTTACGTCACAACGTCAAATAATGACAGTGACGCACATGGTTGCCACATTACTTAATACTACTAGATCCTAGGAAATAAACCACAATGTCACAATGCAGAAAACTGTTATCAACATAAATGTACCCGAGAAATTCAAACTACACGAGGCCCTTCCCACTTCAGTTGGCCCACTTCAAGATTTGTACCAAAATATGCCAGTTTGGGATCTATTTTGCATTAAGGTTGGCATTAAAATTTACTAAATATGACGTAACTGCTTTGTTTCAGTGGAAGGACTATATTCATCTACACATTGTCTCTTATGCAACTGCTTTCTGTATTTACTTTGTAAAGACAATGGGTGTTTCTTTGCAAACATTGAGCTATTCAGTCCTCATACGACACACGTCTATAGTTGCATACATGCGCAATAAAGTTTACGTAAAAAATCGCGAAAGGTATCTTCAGAGTGCGAAGAATGCTCGAATCGAACATTCTTCGGCGAGATTTATTTTTAATCTGACCTTTTTCAGTTATTTGAAAAATCGCCCATGAAAATAATAAAACAGTTAACGCTTCAGTCTGGCGAGCGGCGGATCAGCCGGCGCGCGGCGTTTATCGCCACCTTTAATCGCGAGCATTGTGTTGAAGTTTCATTATCTTAAATTTCGAGTCGGGAGTCGCGCGCCATTGCCATGCCAGCAGTGGCGGCGCATCCAGGGAGGCACAGAATAATATACAGTGCTTTTCCTTAATGTCCCCTTCCCTTTTGATCTTTTGAACGGATCAATTCAAAAAATCAAAACTTGAGATAATGAAATTCAAGCGTGGATACCGTATTATAATAATAATAATGTTTATTGTCACAAAATACAGGTAAATTTCAAATATTGTGCACAATAAACATAAAGCACCCAAAAAAATTTTGCACTTGTGTTTGGGTTTAATCAAAATAAAAACTAATAGTACAGTCAGTGCATGAAAAAAAATTGTTAATACTGAATTGGTGAATTATTATGGTAATGTCTGG